AGAAAATGGTAAACACAGGGACAGGAACAGGAGTTCCAGACCCTGGAAACCAAAATATTACAGACACACAGGAAATGGCTTTTCAAATCCAGCCTGTAAACCTGTCATTTTGTGGGCTCATCTGTGAACCTAGAAAAGAGAGACAAAGATGACAGAGAAGACGTTCGTGCATTCTGGCAAGGCTGTACCGGAGGACCTCTGCAGGCCTTTCCACGCCCTGGTACTAGGATTCTATACTCAAGCCATCATTTGAGAGGTTAGAAAAAAGCCAATGAAACTTGAGGCCAAATTTATGACTTAAAGCTATTTTACTTTGCTTAAAAAAATTGTAGACTTTGAAAAACAAGTGAAAAGCTAAAATATATTTTTGGAGGGCGGGGGGTATATTCTCAGCCCTATTGCTTTAAGGCTTTCAATGAAAAATACTCCCAAATATGTGATAAAGAAGGTACTAAATCATTGAAATATGCATTAATCTTCCTAAAACACTTATGTATTGACTATGCTTTCCATAGCATTAAACAAATGCTGTGCCTCTAGTTAGTGAACAGGTTTTGGATTAATTCTCCAAATGTTTGTATTCTGAGTGCCTTCTAGGGATAAGACATCCTTTGAAGGCAACACATACAAATTAATAAATCAATCTATGGGTTCACTCGGGCGCCGCTTCCTCCTCTTCAGTGCAGTGAAGGAGTGCCCTGGGTCTGGAGCCAGACTGCCTGCCTTCCCAACTCTACCACCTGGAGCAAATGACTTAACCTCTCTGTACCTCTTGTTTTTTTCCCCCGCGGGGAAGTAGGGCTAGTAATAGCACCCACCTCATCAAATTAAATGAGTTAATACATGTAAAGTACCAGGAACAATGCCTGGCACATAGTAAATGTAACCAAATCCAAGTTTATCCGCCCGATTCACAGCAAAGACAATCACTGAGACAAGTGTGCAGCCAGGAGAGGGTTTATTCGAAAGGCAGCCAAACAAGGAGACAGGAGAGCAAGCCTCAAATCCACCTCTTGAAGGAGTATCAGGGAAATGTAAAGGCATCTGAAAAAAAAAGTCTAGGTAAAAAGTTGCAGCTGCACTTACTAGTCTGCAGGGGCGAGTAGCCCCATTAACTGTTTGGTTCCTGGTTTCAGTAAATACTCTGCAAATGTTGGCTATTTAGCACAGGGAAAAGCAATGGACAGGTGCAGATCTAGAAATAAACAGAGCAAGGGGCATAAGAGGTGGAATACTTGAGACTCTCATCTGTGAGGATAAGAGGCAGTTCACGAAGTTGAAAGGCCAGGCCAAGCAAACGGTGTAAGTGAACACACAAAACTATGAAACTAGCATATCTGAGGAATTATAAATGGTTCATTAGAGCTGGATTAGTAAGTGTGTGAGCATAAGTGGAGAGAACCCTTAGGATTTAGTAACTAAACCCACGTGATGGGAAATGAGGCAGAGGGCAGATTTTGGGGTTGATGGTGATGCAATTAACCAGAAACAAAATACAGGGGGTGGTATGGGTATTGCCAGTGTTTGGTTTTGCATATCTACTATGTGAGGGGCCTTTAGACTCAAGCAGAGATGTACAAGTGGATACACAGATCTGGGATTTTCTGAGAACATTCTGGCAAGCCATACAGTATAGGGAACCATCAGAGTGTTACTGATTGTGGTAGCCGAGAACGCCGCTGAAATCGTCAAGAACCAGCGTAGAGAATGAGAAGGCAACAACATAGGCTACATTGGCGTTCCAGGGCAGCTAGCAGAGAAGGAGCCAGAGAGGAGAGAACCAGGGCAGTATGGGGCCTTGCAAGAAACCAAGGGAGTAAAGAGTTTCACATCAGTTAGGATGTTTCTGATGGAAAATGACAGAAAACTGAATTCAAACTGGTTTAAACTGTCAAGATTTATTGGCCCATATAACTGAAAACACAAGCCTCTGGAGGATCACTCCCAAACCAGAGGTGAAAAATTCAGTTCACCATCAACAATCAGTTCTATTGAGTACCTTTTATGTGCCAGGCATTCTAGTCAATGAAGAAAACAGGCAGAGGCCCTCCTCTGTGGACTGTACATACAAATGCTTCTTGGTACCTTTTATTTATTTTGCATTACAATGCAATGCAATGCAATGCTTTAAATTGGAAAAACTAAAGGGAAGACAGAAAGCTTTAGAATATAATGACAAGTCCAAAACACTTGCTGGGAATTTAACACTTTTTTTGTAAGAATGTCTGGAACTTCTGTACTAAGTGAACTAGGGAAGCAGTTCCATACGGACACAAAAGGCTAAAATCTGAAATACCACCAATGACACTAAAGTCCAGCTGTGGTTTTAATTAGTCAGAAATTTGACTTATTCGAAGTTGTTGAGTTCATGCAGATACCTGTAAAAAACAATTACATTTTTAAAATATCTCTAGTAGGGCTGTGTGTCTAAATGGTGTGGCAATATGTTTTATATGCAGGTCATGTCCAAACCTGCATTAGGCCATTTACATTTTAATTATACATATATATTTGCAACAAAAGAAAACCTCACTCTCCACCATTATATCCAACTAAGGACTATTGGTTTTCATGTCCCTGTCCCCTCTCCAATGCCTTAGTTCATGCAGATACTTACCTGCTCTACGAAACTACTGCAACTGGTCTTCCTGACTTGGTCCTTTCATATCCTTTCTCCTTATGGCTACCAACGTGACTTTGCTAAAATAAAGATGGGTCCTTTTTTCCTAACACAGTGCTTTGCACCAATACGTACTCCATAAACTTTATATGGAATGGGATTAGATTCTAGCCTGAGCTCTGAAGCTAACTCATATATTTGTGGGTATATTGTTTATCTGGCTGGGCCTGTTTTCCATTTCTTTAATTTGGAAATGATAAAGCCTACCTCATTAGGTTTTTGGAAACTATGTGATTGAATTTTGTGAACTCAAAAGCACTACACAGCATTTAGCACTTACACAAGGATTTAGACTAGAAAGTTGCAAGTTTGCAAGTAAGTCCAGGTAATATGAGTATTTTAATGGCTAAAACTCAGTGTCAATTTTCTCAGTAATGTTCTTTGATTCCAGTTAAAATGTTTTCCACAAAACTCCTTAAAGCTACTTACTTAGGTTTTTAAGCTTTTTTTTTTTAAAATATGGCCCACAGATGCTTAGTTCTTCTCAAATTTTATCCTTGCACAAAAGAAAGTCATTTATGCCTGATATGGCTTAACTTCTTTAAAGTTGAGGAAACAGTCAAGTATCAAGTGATTTGACTGTCAAAAAAGAAACAACTTGGATAGAGGTCCCTTTCCCCTTCTGTTTTTTGGCCATATTTTGAAAAGAAACCCAATGAGATACAAATGGCAGAATCAGACTGCTCCAAAATATTTAGCCTCCTTCTTCCTAAAGTATCTCTTCCCCTTCCTACATTAGAACTGCTCAAATAGGCATCCATCTCCCAGCAGGGGCATGAGCTCACAAGTGTAGCCACGAACTGTCCTCAACTATCAATCCCCCTTCCAAAAAAGCAGTATTTATTCCTCCCCACCACCCCCATTCTGTTATCTTCTAGAAGGGGGCTCAAAGCATCACTAGAGACTGATCTAGTGAGCTTTTGTTCTGTCATAAACTTACTGATGTAAGTTGGAAGTTGAACTAATGGGTGATAAAAAGAGGTTAGATTTCCCAACAGTGGCTTGCTGGGTTTTGTTTTTTTGTATGAGGTTTGCCTTCATGCCAATTTTTAAATCTTGTAATATTTCAGTAACTTCTTATCTGCTCCTCCAATACATGTATCCAGACAATTTATTTCTCTAGATTTGGGAATCACAGACTCAAAATTATAATTTCATTGTAGTTTGGTGTCACCATGGAGTCATGCTTTATCACTTGATGCCACTCCCTAATATGATACTACAGCCCTCGAAAATTATTCATATACAAAGGCTTTAAACAAAAAGTTTGTTTTACTAATTACTTACACTTTGGGAATCATATCTATAAACATAGAGGATGCACAGCTACAGAATTAATCTTTTTAAGTTTGAGATGTACTGGAAGCTATCATACTGTTATATTCCTTCCTCATCCCACAAAACACCATGGCTAGCATCATCACTTTTATGCCCTTTACAAATTTTAATCTACTTGATCCATGTTCCCAATTAAACAAATTTTAGTTTTTCAAGTACTGGTTTCCAGTACTGAAGAAAAACAACTAGACTGAGGATTTTTTTAAAAAACTCAAAGGCCAATGTCTTTAACTCTTCGTAAACACTAAAGGTGCAGTGTCCTGTAATTAACTCTTGTCCCTGAAAGGTATTAAGATTCATGGAACGACTGATACAATGTCTAGCCTCTCCTTTTTATAGTTCAAAATGCTACAAATAACTGCAACTGCATTGCATTTTGGACTATAGAAGTAAAATCAAAGATGATTAATTTCCTCACTACCCCTTGCTGATTTTATTACTAAATGCAAAGCATTAAAATAGGAGCCATGTACAAAAACACAATAGAAGTAGTGTTGTCAGATAAAACACAAGAAGCTCAGTTAAATCTGAGTCTCAGATAAACACATTTTTAGTGTATGTCCCAAATATTGCACATCCAAAACATTATTTGTTGTCTATCTAAAATTCAAATTTAACTGGGTGTCCTGTATTTTTATTTGCTACCTCTGCCAATTCTTTATACAGAATCCTTTTCTTCAGCAAACTATTTACCAGGGAAAATTAATGAATACCATCACATAAGGCTTACATGATAAAGTGCAGTGATATAATCAGGTAAGGTGATCTCCCTGCTTACCACAGAGAGCACCTGAAGACATGACCACTGCAGTCCCTAGAAGATAAAGTTTGGTGCGCAGGTGGTTCAGGGTGATGATTTTGGAGTTCAAGTATCCTTAGTTAAGTCCCCAAATCACTGCTCACTCGCTGTGGAACCTTGGGTAAGTTAATCTCTCTTATTATAAAATGAAGCCACTAGTAACTGCTTTACCAGGCTGTTTGAACAGCACCTGGAACACAGGAGGCACTCCTAGATGGTAATACTTACTATTATAAACATCACATGGCAAAAAGGTTCCTTGTCTGACAAATATTCAAATGCTAATGTTATGCAATAATAGTAATACTGAATAAGTAATTTTATTTCCATGATCTATTTACACTGTACAAACACTGTTGAAAAGCACCCTACAAGTTCACAGTACAATATATTTACTTTAAAAATATATTCCTTTATAAAAGGTTCATAGAACATTGGCATGTCGACATGTGACAAAACTCTCAAAGCATGTCACCAATTCTGTGATAGCAAGAATGCTTCCATGTGTTGTCAATTTCACAATCAAAAATCACCACTTGAGTTTTAAATAAAGTTTTAAATAAAAAATGAATTCTACAGTGGAAAGTTCCCACAGCAATACTTATTATTAGTTAATTAGCATGTACTTTCATGGAGATGTTTCATAATAATTTAAATTGTCAACTTAATCTGCCCAAAAAAATCGTTTCAACAAGTTTCAGTCCAGAAATTCTTGTCATTTGTTGTTTTCTACTTTTTCTTCTTTGTTGGTTCTCCTGGTTCTACTTTGCGCTTTTTAGAAGTATGCTCGTCTTTTTCATCATCTTTAAATAGGAAAGGAAAAGTTTCAATCGGTAATTAAAAAAAAAAGTTAAGTATTAAAATTTCATTGACTTTAGACCAAAATCATTATCCTCAACTTATGTGTCTTCCAGTTTCCTAATAAAAACCAAAAATTAACTTTTAGAACTCTGATTTTAAAGTGCAAGTAAAAACAAGAAGTTTTTTAATTGTAGTGTCACACAAAATTCAGAGTGACCTTTTAGTGCTATATTAAGGTAGTTTAAAATGAGAAAATCACACTTGTTCTGGAAAAAAGCTATTCCTATAGGTGACCTTTTAGTGCTATATTAAGGTAGTTTAAAATGAGAAAATCAGACTTGTTCTGGAAAAAAGCTATTCCTATATATTCCACAGTATACACTTTGTGTATATTTAAATAATCTACATGTTGTAAAAATGGAACACATTCTATTCTTTTTACCAAAGAGTATCAATCTAATATTTAAGTATTTAAGTGGCCATTGGCTGTTCTTTCCCTTCCAATCTGCTTTTTCTCCCCGCAAAACAACTCCCTTCCGTATTTATAACCCGTCCTTTTATTCTGAAATTTAAAAAGCACTCATTGGTAGGTGTTTCACCAAAACTGTATTCTCTCTGAACATGTGTGTGGCTTTATGTTAAGAGAACTCCATATAGATAAACATGTAGAAGTTATAAATTTTAAAATACAAATTTATTTTAACCACATTACTGGATTCATTGCACTTTTGGCTTTACCTTCTCAATCAACAGATATCCAACGTTCAACATCTATCACGTGGTGATCTATAAAATATTCTGATGTTGAAAGGGGTCTTCATATTAAAAAACTGGGAAGCTGCAGTGCCTGGCTGGCTCAGTCAGGAGTAGAGCACGCGACTCTTGATCTTGGGGCTATGAGTTCAAGCCCCACGTTGGGTGTAGAGCTTACTTAATTAAAAAAAAAACAACTGGGGAAATGCTGCTTATATCACACCATAAACTCCTTATGGAGGAAATACATTTACAACTTAAGCCTTCAATTCCCTTCTGCTAACTGTACCATACTCAGAATATCTCCTTTGTTGATGTGGAGAATAATTAGAATCAACAGCAGATGATTCATCTTCATTCATCTTTCAAGCATAGTATGGCGATGTTATTCATGTATTTCAGAAAGCACTTATGGATTTATATAGGCAGCAAGGTAAAATAAAATTCAGATCAATCAATCATCCTAGGACTTCACAAACCAGAGTTTTAATCAATAGTTTATCATGTATACACAAAAATAATGTACAAACCAACTGATAGGGCACACAGCTCAAATAAGCCAAAGCCTTTGTTTTTTAAATGGAGTTTAATTAACATCATTGCTTGACTTTGAAATTATCTCCACAGAATAAAAATTGAAATTTATTTTCTAACTCTGCTATAAAATCCACCATTGACATATTATTAAAAAGATGATTGTGGGTGCCTGGGTGGTTCAGTCAGTTAAGCATCTGCCTTTGGCTCAGGTCACGATCTCAAGGGTCCTAGGATCCAGCCTTGCATTGGGTTCCCTGCTCAGCAGGGAGCCTGCCTCTCCCTTTCCCTCTGCCCCTCCCCCCCGCTGGTGCTTGCTCTCTCTCTCTCTCTCAAATAAATAAAATCTTAAAAAAAAAAGATGATTGTGAGACACTTCTGTTAGTCTGCTAATTTTAAATAAATTTACTGAATTAACAAAAAACACAAATTACTAGGGCTGGAAAAACAATTTTCTACCAGTAATTTGAACCGGAGCTTCTGCCATCTAGTGACATAACAAGGTATTACCTTAAAAAACCAGAAGAAAAATGAAAACCACCCTGAAATGTTCATTTATCAAGATTATTGAGTCTCTACTCTGTACCATGTACTAGAGAGGCATTAGTAAGGAAAAAATTTTTCTATTATGGAATTCATGCCACCTGAGGTAAAGAAGCTTACATTGTTAATATAAGCTTTCTAAATTCTTATAAAAAAAAGAAAGAATAAGCATTACCTACCTTAACTAGGATTTCGTGGTTAAGGACATGTGAATATCTAAGACTTACCGATTTTCATTTCACAATTACCAGACAAAAAGTGCTGGTAAGTAGCAAGCCTCGATGAGTTTTGAATCTTTCCCAGCTTTTATTTTTTAAAGATACTATTTATTTATTTGACAGAGAGAGACACAGCGAGAGAGGGAACACAAGCAGGGGGAGTGGGAGAGGGAGAAGCAGGCCTCCCGCCGAGCAGGAAGCCCAATGCGGGGCTCGATCCCAGGATCCCGAGATCATGACCCAAGCTGAAGGCAGATGCTTAACGACTGAGCCACCCAGGCGCCTCTCTTTCCCAACTTTTAAAGAAAAAAAAAAATCTGGCAGTTAACTGGCAAAAAAGGCCAAAGTGCAAAAAATGAGTAGAAAAAGTAAAAATAACTTAATAATCTAAAAATTAGATAATTTAAGAGTATAGAATTTCTTAAACAAGGTATTAAGTTAAAAAATACAGGTAAAAATAATCAATTTTATAGTGACTTTGTGAACATGGTACGGATTCTAAAATGGCAAAAAACACTTCTAAAAAGAAAAGTATCTAAAAAAGAAGACAGTTATATTCAATAACCAACATTTAGAATCCAAATTAAAGATTCCAGGATTATCTTTTAACTTTATGATCCAGCTTTAAACTGTCTGAGCACTGGGTCCTTTTGTCGTTTGATATTGTCTATGTACACTTTCTGATGGAGAACCATCATATAATCAAAAGAACAGAAATTATCTAGGAGAATAACAATATTATTTGCCACATATTTGGAACTTCTTCTATCTGAACTCAATAGACAAGCTGAAAAAAGGTAATTCTTTCTGCTTGTTTGTCCTGGTATAGAATCCTCACATTTTCCATAAAGGAACAAAGACAGAGCACCAGCCTATGGTACTTCAGTTTGAATATCAACTCTAGTGTTCTTACTTCCTACAGAACAGCTATTTCTCAAGCACTACAGCCTGCAAAACATCAAGAGAATAAACCCCAACTTATAGAGGCATCATTTCCATTTAAAGGCCTGAATCTGAATTCTAATTCTGCCTCTTCCTAGATGTGTGAATTTACTTGGGCCAATTCTTTAATCTGAGATTATTTCCTTGTCTATAAAATTCAGTATAATAATGAACTACGCACCACTTCTGTACTAGGTTGCTAAGAACAATAAATTTTAAAAATTGTGTGAAAGTACCTATTTTACAACTTGGCATTTTCTAGTTTTGTGATCACGGACAAGCCACATTAAGCTCTCATTTCCACATTTCCCCATCTGATTTCACAAGGTGTAGGATTAAACATTTATGCAAATTTTTTTTTATTAATTACATAATGCTATACAGTATGAGGTATTTGGATTTAAAAGGATGCCATTTACTGAACATATGCCTTCATTAGTGACTTCTAATCCACACTGGAAAACAGTGAAAGAAATGGAAAAGCCAAGTAGAATCAAAACTGAAGAACTCCTATCAGTTATTCTTTCTCCTAAACAAAACTCTCTGCCTGATTGTAAAAAGAGCTAAGTAGGGAGCCCTGAATTTATGAGAACATCAGAAATCTGTGACAGTCCAAGTATTTAGTCCAATTCAACAATTATCCACTGAATATTTAAAATATACTACAAACTGTAAAAGAACTCATTTTCATAAAGAAGATAGACTTACGAACAAATAATCTCATGAAAGATGACAGGTGCAATCAATAGCATTAGCACATACAAGGTACAGGGGAGCAAATAATTTGAGGGAGGTGCTGACATTTTTTTCTTCTTTGAATTGGATTTTGAAGGATGAATGTGTTTACCAGCCAAAGAGGGATGGAAGAACATTCTGGAGTAAGGAGCAACATATGCTGAAAGGCATGGAACCATAAAATAGCATGGTCTATTCAGTTTTCAATTTTAAGATCTTAAAGTGCTAGAAAAAGCACCATTTGAAATGAAGGTGGGAAAAAAAGGCAGGGCCTATCAGAAGGCTTTGACTATGCTGTTGGTGAAGGATTTTAAGCAGGTCAGTTACATAACCAGACATCACTTTTAGAAAGTGATCACTAGCTGCTGTGTTTAGGATGGAATGGGGGGGGGTTGGATAAAAGTGTGTAAGCAGAGATTACTGTGGTTACTTATACTCTAAATATGAGATGAAATTATGATATAAGCAAGTCAACTAAGTCATTATCTTCCTATTACTATGTAGTACTACTCAATTAACTTCATTTTGTCACACTAATTTTGGCTTTAAACCACAACTGCTTTAATAGAAAATGAAGCCTCCAGCTCTTCAAAGCTGCAATCACAAGAAAGAATCCATGAATTAACTGGCTCTGTTTTAAAAGGGCACCATAATAAATCATATATACTACTGTTTGAGGTATCAGAGAATTCACTCTAAAGCCTGAATAACTTAAGATCTTTTTCTAAAACATAGTGAATACTACTGGTTGACCTTTCAGAGACTTCACTTCAAAGCCGAATTTATACAGTCTTTCTCAAAACTGCAGCAAAAATAATAATCATACACCATAACTGATATGTTAAATTGCTAAATTTAAATTTCACTCATCAAATATCTTAATTCTTTTTAAACTCATCACAGGGACCAAAAGGTATTATCAACGGAGTCTGACTCGTCTTACCTGATTCCACTGTCTCCTCCCCTTCCGGTAGAAGCCTAGCTTTCTTAACATTCTGTGGGGCATCATCACCATTGTCCTCATATATGTTAGACCATTTTATTGCCATATCCAGCTCTGGAGGGGGAGGTTTCTTCTCAGTAGTGTAGCTCTCCGGAGGTGGTACATAGTTTGACTTCCATATTTTGAATTCTTTTGGAGGCTGTTAAGCAAACACATTAAGAAGCACCGTGAGGAACCGAGGTTCCCACAATCGGTATGGGCACATGCACCTCCCTGCCGTTCGCTCATTGTTCAAGCTGACTTTTTTTTTTTAGGTTTTAAGGCCCCTTTTTTTCCATCAAAATCATAATACTGTTAAGTGAAAAGCCAAAGGGTTCCCTATACGAATAAAGCTAATAACTTTTAGTTACCAAAGAAGAATCCAGTCTCAGAGATACTACGCCAAGGCTGACCCCTTCAGGAGGCTGCAGCAGACACTGTTGGAGGCAGCACCGCAGGCACTTCGGCGTCAAAGGGAAGGGGTCTCGGGGAGAAGCTGCAGCGGGGGGGGGCGGGGGAGTCACCACCGTTAGTCCTCGCCGCGCGGGGTCGGGGCACCGAGCGCGGAGGTTTGGGTCTCCTCACAAGGGGGCGGGGGCTGCGGGCCGGTCTGACACCCACCAGGCTAGGGAAGGGGGCCCGGGCTCCCCAGGGCTGGAGGTGGGAGGGGTGGTGCGGCATCCCGCAGGAGGTGATTGCGTGTGGGGGAACGAACTGCCGGTCCCCAGGAGAGGGCTCAGGAGGAAGGGGGCGGAGGCCGGGGCCACGATCGGGAAACCGGGTCGGGAACCTCACCTCCTCAGGCGCCTTGACGACGTGCCTCTCCCAGTCTATCTGTTTGTTGAGCGGATTGTAGAGAAAGGCCGGGCGACTCACGCTCCGAAACAGTTCGTCGGGTCCCGGCAGCCGCTTCTCCGCCTTGTTCCCACAGCCGCCCGCCGACTTCGCAGGATCTGGGGTCCTGCGATTTGTTTCCTCCGGCTCGCTATTATCCTCCTCGCCCGACGAACCTGAGCTGCTGCTGCCGTAAGCCGCGAAATAGCTCAAGGGGTCCTTCTCCTCGGCCGCCATGACGGCTGCGCGGGACGACCGTGGGCTCCGCCGGAAGCCGGAAGCTGCTTCAGGGCCCGCCCCGCGGTTGGCTCCGCCCCAAGTCTTGCGGTAGAGCACAGGGTCTGCGCCCCCTGACGGCAGCGCCGGGCTCCTGCCGCCCCTCTCGGCACTGAGGCGGGAGGCGGGGAGCGCACGTAGCAAACAGGGGCTGCTTTAGGCTCCTTCCCGAGGAACCCTAAGAAGAGACAAGTCCTGTACCAGTGGTCCCAACCAAACTTTCAACATTCAATAAGCATTTATTAAAGGCATACAAGAGATAAGAATTTGTTTTTTCACTGCCACTTCACCTTAGCCATCGCCCAGAGACGCCAGGATTTCTTCCCGATCTCACTGCATCTCTTCAAAATGAAAATTACTGTCAGTCTGGTTGCTTCCCGCAGTCACCATGGAAGACCTCTATGGGCGGTGGACTTAACAAGTCACAAACTAAATCCTCTCCTGCTCGACTTCATTACAATGGGCTCTGAAAACTACCTTTGATGACATTCCTTTTGGATTGCATCTCACCACTAGGTGGGTCTTCCAAACTCTCTGGCTTCTCATTGTCAGCTTCTTTCCATTCTTGATTTGCCCTGTATGGCACTTAAACGCTGGTGTTTCCCAGCGTATTATACCATCTTTCAGCAATACTTATCATTTTGTAGAGGGCATTACAAAGTTGCAAGTCAGCCCATCTCTTTCCATGGCATTAACTACCTTATGCTTGTGACTCCCAAATCTGGGTTTCCAACCCCAATCTTTCCATCCAATCTCTGGACCAGACCTCCCCTTGGGTCTTAAGCTTTCCATGTGGACATCCTGCTGGAGCTTCAAACACCCACTTACTAGATCAGTAACCTGTCTTTCCATATGATTTGTTTCTGTATGTGTTCCCTCTCTTAGTAATTGATATAACCTAGTCACCAAGAAAACTAGAAATCTTTCACTCCTCCTGGTGATCTAAGAGGGAATGATACTTAAATGAAAGTAAAAAAGTTGGTTGGAGGGCATCTACCTTCGGCTCAGGTCATGATCCCAGGGTCCTGGGCTAGAGTTCCATATCGGGCTCCCCCTGCTCGGTAGGGAGTCTACTTCTCCCTCTGCTGCTCCCCCCGCTTGTGCTCTTTCTCAATAAATAAATAAAATCTTAAAAAACAAAAAACTGGTCCACTGTTGAGTACCTTTGGGGTTGGGGTACCCAGTTTGACTAACATGAGTCTCTGTTATCAAAGCCACCAATAGCCTCTGTGTGACCAAGTCCAAGGGCTGCTTCTTCCTTCACCTTTTAACAAGATAGGCCTCCTTTTTTTTCTTAAGATTTTTTGTTTTTTAGTAATTTATCTATTTGTTAGAGAGAAAGAGAGTGAGAGCGAGCACAAGGGGAGCAGCAGGCAGAGGGAGAAGCAGGCCCCCTGCTGAGCAGGGAGCCCAATGTGGGGCTGGATCCCAGGACCCTGGGATTATGACCCAAGCCGAAGGCAGACGCTCAACTGACTGAGCCACCCAGGCGTCCCAAGATAGGCCTCTTTCTTGAAACACTTTTTTCTCTTGCCTTTCACTAGATCATACACTTTAGTTCTCTTCCTATTTCACAGGGCTCTTTTCAGTTTCCTTTCTTGCCTTGTTCTGTCTCACCTCTAGATGTGAGAGCACCTTAGGCTCAGTCCTGGATCATCCTTCTTTTCTATGAACCTTATGTTTCAAGGTAATTCATCAAGTCCCATGATTTAAAATACCATTTTATGCTAATAACTCCCACATTTATATAACCAGTCCAGAAGTATTCCCTGAACACCAAATCCTTGTACCCAATTTCCAACTTCAGTGTCTTAACAAGCACTGCAAACAACGTATTTCTGGTACATTTTCTACCAAGATGGTGGTCAACAATTCCTGCCACGCCAGTGCTGCATGCCGCTCCTTCCATCATGGGGTCTATTTCCTCTCCCTTCTGGATCTGGGCTAGCCTTGTGCCTTGCTTAGATGACGAGAATGCCTCCACTTTTTTTTTTTTTCTGGGAGCTCTGAGCCACCACGTAAAGAAAGGTACAGCTACTCTGCTGGAGATACGATGAATGAAGAACCCCAGCCAGCTCCCGGCTAGTGTATCCATCCCAGGTAAGGCACTAGACTTGTGAGTGAATTTATAGAATCCCAGTTGAGCCTTTATAAGAATGCAGAATGATCCCAGGATAGACCATCACAAGAACTATGAAGCCAAGTCTAGCCCAATTTGCAGAATCAAGACAAATAAATAGTCATTATTTTAAACCACTAAGTTTTAGGGTGTTGTGTTATGCAGCAACAGATACCTGAAAAACATGTCCAAAGGAAACTCTTCATTTCCTACCCTCAAATCCTCCCCACCTCCCATAATTTGCCCCATCTCTTTAAATTGCAGCATTACCATTATTTTTGAGTAATCTCTGCACCCAACATGGGGCTTGAACTCATGACCCTGAGATCAAGAGTCATATGCTCTATAGACTAAGCCAGCCAGGCACCCCAAATTGCAGCATTATTAATCCAGGTGCTCAGGTCAAAGGTCAGCAAGTGTTATCATTTCAAATTTAAAATATAGTCCAAGTCCAAACACTTATTACCAATTCTACCTCTATTACCTTTCTTTTTCCTTGCTTGCTAATTTTCTTAACATTTAATAATCTTTAAATTGGTTTAGATTCATGCATTACATTTAGTGGCCATGTCTCTTCATCTCCTTCAACCTGAAATAGTTTCTGTCTTTAACTTTCATGACCTTGGTATTTAGACTATAGACCAGTTATTTTGTAGAAGATGCCTCAATTTGTCTTAGTGATAAATTCAGGTTACGAATCTTTGTTAAGAACATCATGAAAGTGGTGTTCTTCTCATTGCATTCTATCAGGAGGCATGTGATTTCATTTGCTTTGGTACTAATGATTTCAACTTTTTCTTTTTTTTAAAGATTTTATTTTTAGGTAATCTCTGTACCCAACGTGGGGCTCAAACTCACAACCCCAAGATCAAGTCACATGTTTTACCAGCTGGGCCCAGCCAAGCACCCCTGATTTTTTGTTTAAGGTAGTATCTGGCAGGATTTTCTGCTATCAAGCTACTTTTTTCCTCCTTTGTAATTAATAAGCGTTTTGTAGGGAGATATTTGAGACGATTGTCAATATCCCATTCTTCATCACATTATTTGTCCATTTACATTAGCATTGACTCATGGTTTCTTATTTTATCCAATGATTTATAATGTTATTATCATTACTTATTTTGATGTTGAAATTATTCTGGATTTGGCCTGTGGGAGCCCCTTCAAGCTGGTTTCTGTGCCTTTTGAACATGTCTCAGCTCAGCTGTCACCTGCTCTGAGAGGACCTCCCAGATGATGCTATCTATACCCTTCCCCATGGTTTAGCTCACACATGCCCTATTTTATATCCATGGTAACTAGAAGTACCTAGGTTTCCATGCTTCTATTTTACCTCCCCCAACTAGAATATGAATTCTTTGAGAACACAGATTTTGTTTTATCACTGTATCTCCAGCACCTAGAATAAAAGGTACTCCAATAATTACTAAATTAATGAGTGAAAAAATAATCTCCACTCTTAACTTTGTTATTTAAGAAATACTAAGAAGAACATGGAGTTGTGGAGAGAACATTGACTGTGGAGCCAAACAGCCCTGGATTTTTATCCTAAACAGTTGTGCGATGTTGAATCATTTACTTTATTCTGAGTTTGTTTTAGCTCTGCTTTCAGGTAGGCTTCATAAGATTGCACTTAACGACTATAGACAGATTTGCTTCTTGGTTTGCTTTTTTCCCAAGTCAAAAGTGTGTATATTTATCCACTGATGCAAGATAAGACCAGAGCCTGGAACTTTCTGCTCCCTTCTGTATTACTTAGGTAAAAAAGCAGTACCTGCAAGACTTGACTTCTACTTGATACCATACACAGAAATTACTTTATAATGAATTATATGGCCAATTGTGAAACTAAAGCAACTAAGTTTCCAGAAAAAAAACAGGAGAATATCATCATGACATTGAGATAAGCAGAGATTTCTAAAACAGGAGACAGAAATCACTAACCACAAAAGAAAAGATTGATAAATTAGATTAATTAAAATAAAAACTGTTTATCAAAATAAACCCCGAAACTCCCAAACAGAACCAAAACACTTCTTAAAAATAATTAAAACAAAACAAAAATTTGCCATTATTCTGGCCTGTTCCTAATTTGCCAGTGTTTGACCTTGCACTAAGAGCAACATGCTGACCAAAGATGTGTAATCACCTCATGAAAAGGTGTGCTCACCACGAAAAGACTTGGAGAAAACTTAGGCTACATACTACTTAGGCTACACATGATTCCAACTATGCGACATTCCGGAAAAAACAGTACAGAGACAATAAAAGGATCAGTGGTTGCCAGGGTTAGAAGGGGGAGGGAAGAGGAAGAGATGAGTAAGTGGAACAAAGGAAATTTTTAGGGCAGTGAAACTGTCCTGTATATTACACTGGTGGATACATGACTTTATGCATCTATCAAAACCTACAGAACCAGGGCGCCTGGGTGGCTCAGTTGGTTAAGTGTCCAGCTCTTGAGTTCGGCTCAGGTCATGTTCTCAGGGTCATGAGACTGAGCCCTGCATCTGGCTACATGCTCAGTGGGGAGTCTGCTGGAGGATTCTCTCCCTCTGCCTCTCTCTCTGCTAGCGCATGCACTCTCTAAATAAATAAATAAAATCTTAAAAAAAGAAAACCTGTAGAACTGCACAGCACAGAGTTAATCCTAATGTAAACTACTACCTTTAGTTAATAATGTTTCAAGACCAGTTCATCAATTCTAACAAATGTACCACACTAATGCAAGATGTGAAAATGGAAAAGTCTGTACTTTCTGCTCAATTTTTCAATAAATCTAAAACCATGCTAAAAAATAAAGTCTTTTAATTAAGATAAAATTTTAAGAGTTCTGAATTGTTTTTGTACGAAGTGATAATATGGTATCTGTAAAAAGTAACTTTTTCATTCCTGCCTTTACCAACCTGTCAGTCTGACATTCTAATTTATATATTTTCAGCAACAGATGGTTTTCAGAGTTTAAAGGAAAAAAAAATTGACTTCATAGGATTCAGAAAACCCAAAGGCTAAGTTTATTAAAACCTTAATTTTATTGTCTGTATAGTTAACAGTCTGAAAGAAAACTCAGTGTTATAAACTATAAATGTAGGTGATACAGCATATCTAAATTCTTTTTGATTCTGAGTAAATTCTACTCCAAGTAACCACATATCAAATTTTATTTTAATTAATGAAATGAAAAGCCTGCTTCTGCTTTTTAACGAGACTTCTTTAAATGTAATGCCACTATTTCTTATGCCTCGCTGAAGGCATAAGAATGGGAAACATGCTTCCCATAATCTTTAGGAAATGTTACACTATAAAAATCATCCAAGCTTGAAAAAAATTTATCTAAAGAATATGTCAATCTTCTTCGTGATTGATAAATGCATCAGTCTATCCAGAAATGCTACTTGATCTCACAACTTGAAGTAATGTTTCTATAAAAATTGGTACATATAAAAAAAGTATTTTAGGTATTTACTTCCTATTGAAATACCTGAAACTTCCAAAAAAATAGCACTACAATTGAAAAACTTTTATTGTTAATAGCATATTTCCACCTTTGCTTTTTAAAAGTAATGGAAATATATGAGAATATATCAGGAAATAGGCAGAATTATAACTTAAATAAAAACAATGACAGCATAAAATTTATAAAGGTGTAAAATTAGTCAAACTTTGTTATAATAAAAACACAAGTCAGGCTAATGATCCACTTGTTCCAAACAGTATTGAAGACAGAACTGGCACATAGATACACACACACAACATTTTGTCCTAGTTATTTCAACTTGTACAGTGGTCCTCATTAAAAGAGAATGAAAAGTACAGAAAAATATTTTTAAAATCTCACCAAATTACACGCAATCGCAGGCTTTTGCCGAGATTTTTCTGTAGGAATGAAAATGATAAGCAAAGATTGTGAAAATCCTAAGAAAATAGTATTAATTAGTAAGGTTAATAAAAACTGTATTTTGGCAAATTGAGATCTTAGGTGGCTCAAACTCCCTTAGATGTTCCTCCGCATCAGAAGGGGACTCTGTAAGTGTCTCTAAGCTCAAGGGAGTGGGAGATTCTTTTCAGTACACTGGCAGTTTTCCTGTCAGTGATTGGCTTTATTACCATATAGATGTAGCTTAATCTGAAAATGTACTGCTGTATGTTGGAAAGGACTATTAGACTGTGAAAATTCCAGTACAAATGCACTGAGACATTATACCCAGCCTCAGACTATTCTTAAAGAGAGAAATATTCCCTATTAAAGTTAGTCTTAAAACAAAAAATGTGAAAACACTCCATACCTCAAAAATGCAAAGAAAACACTGAAAATTACATGATCAACATGATTTTTTTCTTCAGCTATCTAAAAGTATGCTTCTTTTGTCCTAAAAAAGTCTATTTACAAAGTATGCTTCCATTGCTTTTTAAAAGACATATATCAAATGTTGTCATTCTAGCAATTTTATAAAAAGATTGATATCCTTTCAAATATTTTTTGTCATTATTAAAAAAGATTAAGAGGCTGTAAACTGTCATTGGTGGGAAACAGCACGTGATCTCAAGGGAAGAAACATCTCACTAGAGTTTCCACAAGTTCCTCCTCCTTCTAACTGCAGCTCTGGTGGCAAAGGAGGAGCCCCGGGGTCCCCAGGTCTGGGAAGCGTAGTTGAAGAGAAGGTCGGATTTTCAGTTCTGCCGACTTCAAGAACAGGCAAATTCAGAGAAGACTCAGTAGAAAAAAAGGGGGCCGTGCTGGATTCTCCTTCAGGATGGTATATGACAGTGGATGCTCTCAGTTTTTCTGAGAAATTACTCTCATTGGAATTTGATCTAGAGAAGTTGTTTGTGGCTCCATCTGGGAAAGGCTCACAGCTGCTACATTTCAGTCCTACAATAAAATTGTATTCAGATGTAAATGAAAAAGTAACTTAAAAAATTGAACCCACACCCATCTTATAAGCTAGTTACCACACAACAGAGATTTAAACAGCAATTTATAAATTCTGTCATAATCCATTTCATGTTTCATTTGCTTTTCCCAACAACTATGAAGTATACCATTATTTTTATTTCTTTGATAAGGAAATAGTCTTAAGGAAGCTAAATGACATGCTATAATTCACATTTAGTTTGTATCCTTATATACTTAACCACTGAATGACCTGGAAAAAATTAAGTAGCCCCTAAAATTTTTCATAAAATAAGAAACAGCTGTCACAACTAATATTCTTTAGCATTCTGGCACAAAACGTATTACCCAATAAAAAACAAACTTTAAACAGAGCATATGCTAAAATTCTGAGTTAATTACTACCAATTAAAGATTCTTGAATCCCAGGGTGTTAGACATGTCAGAGGTCCCCTGGGATAGCTTCTTACTAGCAGAAATGAAAAAATAGAGGCCCCAAACAGTCAAGTCATGCCCAATATTCCAGAACTACTTCATGGGAAAGTAAGAACTATAACCCAGGTCTCCTCTTCACATTAAATAACGTCCCGGTTCTCAACCTAACAGTTCACTTAAATGACAGTGGCTGCTCAGATCAAAGAATTTAACTATATCCAATGGGTACAGCTAACAATTAGCCTCGGGGTGAAAGAATAAACACACACAAATTTTATCTTTCTGTTAGTCTTAGCAAATATTTAACCTAACTGTCTAAAGGCACAGAACCTCCTGAGCTGACAAATTTTATGTAAAATCTGAGAAGTCTATAAAGTACATTTATATGTCATTTTTTTTCCCACTAGCTTTTCAACTTCACAATACATTCAGCAGTTCTGTTCCATGCTATAGAAACTATTTTCTTAAATATGGCTCAGGAGGGGAGACTTCCAATGATTCCCAGTATGGACCGACAGAGTTTAAGGGCAGAGCCCTAAATTACTCTTTTCTCTATCCCCAGTGCCTAGAACACCTGGGGTAGAGCTACATCATATGCACATTTATCTTAAGTGCTCTACAGAAAGGCACAGGGAGAGAGAGATGGGGTTTGGGGGGAGAGGAGGATTTAAACAGTGCAGGCAATTCTCTGTAGTATTTCTCTGAGTGTGTGTTCCAGGGTGAGGGTGAAACACAGGAAGTGAATTTGCTATGCCATTAATCAACTTCCATTCCCACGCCTCTCTCATCATGCCAGACCGAGTGTGACTCTAGTGTTTAAAGTTATGGATAACTTATATAACATGATTCTTACAAGCAATGCCAACCACTTCATTCTGTGATCAACTGGTGAAAGAAGAACCATCAGAGTTGGACTTACTAAAAAGACTTTGCTTATATATTGTTCTTCATGTGTGATGTGTATTTTCAGGGGTTACTTCTGAATAGATTGATCTTAGGCACACTTCAGAAACAAACTCATGTGTATACCGGGATTTCATTAAAGTTTTGTATAAACGGTACTGTTAAATAAATACAAATACAGAACACTGAGTGCTATTCCACTTTTCCAGTGAAATGACATAAGACAAAAAAAATGTAAATCAAATATAATTCTGAAGCTGAAATTTTCGAATAAAAACAAAATGATCATTTCTGTTTTGTTTTGTATTTTACTTTTTTTTTTTAAGATTTTATTTATTTATTTGACAGAGAAAGACACAGCGAGAGAGGTAACCCAAGCAGGGGGAGTGGGAGAGGGAGAAGCAGGCTTCCCGCTGAGCAGGGAGCCAGATGTGGGACTCGATCCCAGGACCCTGGGATCATGATCTGAGCCAAAGGCAGACGCTTAACGACTGAGCCACCCAGGCATCCCTTGTATTTTACTTTTAAAAGCACTGTCACATGTAAATGAATTCTTGCACACCAAAATATCTTACCTTTCAGATGTTCTAGTTTTATATTTCTAAGTTTCAGCACTTCATCTGTAATCTTCTGTATCAGGAAGTTCTGTGTTTTTTCTCGCCGAATAGATTCAACCAGTGTATCTAGTCCTTTGGGGTTTTCTTGTAAGTAGTCTAACAATTTTCCAGCCCTTTTTCTACTTGATGTTCGGCAAGAAATTTCTTCAGTGTCTTCTCTACTGAGTATTTTTTTTGCACGTAGATGATCAAAATGTCTCTCAGCTATGATTTTTTCACACAGGTATACACGCAGATTTTCTAAAGCCTAAAAGACATAAAACTGTGCTTCAGTGTTTTTTTTTTAAACCCTTGAGGAAATCACATAGGTGACTGATTATTAGTTAGGAATCTTAACTGGTGGGAGAAAACGTACTCAAGTCAGGAGGCTCAGGACTACTAATATCCATATTATTAAGACGAAGGGCCAAGTAGACAGAAGTCGGTCCTAGACTAAACATTCCTTGCAGCTTCTGTCCTGCTTTAATCTCATCTTCACACCTATAAACCAAGACCAGGTTATTGTGAGGAGGAAGCTGGTCAAACCTAAACGGCCTGGGTCCGTGGAAATAGGGAGGTATGCTCAGGGCCTCCAACTTCAGGGGTAAAGATGAGAGCAGAGGCTTCCATACATTTTAGGTACCATTTAGCAAGGAATCCAGGATTAGTCAGGATCAAAGAGGATAACTTAGTGAGGCCTCGTAATTTGTAACTTTCTCATGTTTGTTAGTTTTCCATTCTCCTCGAGTAAAACCATGGAGTGTCTTTCCTAGAGTAAAACCATAACAGTCCATAATGTATTTATCTTTGGAGTTAGTTGGAAAGACTATACCCTAACTCTGTGAGTCAGATGGTAGAAGGGAGGTGGGCGTGGGACAGGGGGAGTACACTAAAGAAATAGTGAATGTTGGAAGAAATTAATGAAGAAAAGGAAATCACAGAAAACAGGCTTAGATCTGAGAAATGCCCCAGGGAGCTTATTTGGCAGAAAGCTGATCTGGGTCCCAATAAATAGCATTAATAATTTGATGCCAGTGACTGTATTCTACCTCTTCCATTTACTAGATATGTGATCTTGGGTAAGTAACTTAACTCCTTGGTGCCTCAGTTTCCTCATCTGAGTATTATGAGGAATAAAATAATGTATGTAAAGTACTTGGAAAAGTGCCTGGTAAATAGTAAGTCATCAACAAATGTTAGTGATGAAGACAATGATGACTAATTTGACTTACATTTATCATGATGAGCTAAAGGCAATGGAAGACCTTAGAAGTATCCGAGTACGTGGTGGCAGGAAAGTAGGCTGGGTGAAGGGTTCCTACAGTTCTCAGTCCACTGAACTCCCACATTCATTTATTTATTCACAAAACAAACATTTCATATATCTAAATACCTAATATGCCAAGTGCTGAGCATACAAAGATGAACAAAACTTGAATCCTGTACACAAAGGGCACATGGTCTAGTTGGAGAGCACATTTAAGACACAAGCCAATAATTTTAAGACAATGTGATATGACCCAGAAAAAACAAACAAACAAAAACACAAGTACTGGGGAAGCACAGAGGAAAAACTAACTGTACCTCTGACCTGGGAAATTTACAGAGGCTATACTTGTAGCATGAAGGTGCACAGAGGGGAATACTAACAAGTCTGGGGTAGCTGGGATGCAGGGTGCATGTGAAACAGTGGTAAGAAATGAAGTTGAAAGGGAAACAGTTTGGATTATGGAAGAATTTTTTTAACATGTTGAGAAACATACATTTTCCTGTAGCCAAAAGAGTCATCAAAGGTTTATAAATAAGAAGCAATTAAAAAACTTTTGGAGAGGACCGGGGGAGCAAAAACTGGGAGAACCATAAGGAGACTGCTGCAATATTTTACGTAAACTATGCTGAGTGCGTGAATTTAAGCTGTGGGGGTGGAGAGAATAGATTTCAAAGCTGAACTCCTTGAAACACCTCATCCGTTGTCATCTCTACCACTTATATGCTGATGATCCCCAAGTTTGTGTATGTGATTGACCTTCTCCACTTAGAAATCCCAAACGTACTTCAAATTCAACTTGTCCAAAACCAAATTTGTTATCTTTGCCTGTCCTTTTCCTCTGATATTCTTAACTCATTTGGGAGTACCACCATGCATCCGATTGTGCAATAAACCTACAACTTCCTCTCTTTTGCTCACCTGCCACATCTGATCACCCACCCACCAAGTCCTGCCAACTTACCCCTTATGTTTATCTAATCTGCACTTTCACTTCATTTCTATCATTAGCACTGCCTTAGCTCAGGTCTTCATCATATGTTGCATGGACTATTAACAAACAAGACACCTAGCTGTACTTCCTATTTCTTTCCTCCTGCTCAAATTTCTCCTTCACACATCTATCAAATCTTCCAAATTTTCAAGAGAAAATGGAAATCTGGAGTGTTATGTGAATTCTACTAATACTGAAATGTTGTCAGTTAATTTTGTAAAAATTTAAAACTTGGTGTGTTCCACCAACTTAAAAGATAAAGTTCCTTAACTTTGGCAGAATAGTAGAGAGGTCAGAGGTGTGGCTCTGGATCAGGCCAACTTCAGTTCAGATCTTAAATCTGCCATATACTCCTGTAAGAGCTGGGGCAAGTAACTTAACCTCTCTAAGCTTCGGGTTATTTATAAAATAGTGATAAATACTTACCCTGCAGGACCGCTAGAAGGACTAAATAGGACAGTGAATATGAGGACTTGACACGGTCTCTGATACACAGTAAGTACTCAATAAATAATAGCTGTTTGGTAATGGCAGACAGGGTACTTTAAAATATGGATCCTACCTATCTCTGGAGCTTAATCTATCACCACCTCTACCTGTCCTGGTACTTTATGTTCTACCTAAAAACTGCTGTTTGTCACTCTATAGTTCTGTGTTGTTACTTTGTCTGGTTTTCTCTTCTCATACCCTAAGTCCCTATTTTTCACTTACGATGCATCACAGTGGTCATCTCCTTCAGGAAGCTTTGCTTAAACTCCCCAGAAGGACTTAGGCACCCCTCTCCTCTGTCCTTATAGCACCCTGTGCATTTATTTCACTTGTCTATATACCAGGACTCCACTTATCTCCCAATTCATTTCCACTCTGTGTCACTATTATTTTCAGTCACGAATAACCTCCTCACTGTCAAATCTCATACCTGTCAGTCTTCATCTTACCTCTCAGCAACATGGATGCAGCTGACCACTCCCTCCCTCCTTGAAATACTGGTTTCTTGTCTTTTTTTTTTTTTTAGATTTTATTTATTTGAGAGAGAGAGAGAATGAGAGATAGCATGAGAGGGAAGAGGGTCAGAGGGAGAAGCAGACTCCCCGCTGAGCAGGGAGCCCGATGTGGGACTCGATCCCAGGACTCCAGGATCATGACCTGAGCCGAAGGCAGTCGCTTAACCAACTGAGCCACCCAGGCGCCCTGGTTTCTTGTCTTATATGAATACCACACTTCCCTGGCTTTAGTCCCACCTCTATGGCTATAACCTTTCACTTTTTAAAACTCCTCTATGATCAGAATATAAAAGTGGATTTCCTGTAGATATTTGGAAATAAGGACCTAGAGCTGACAAAGAAGGAAGTCCAAATATGTGTATGATAATTTTAAAGCTTTCTGAGGTCATCAACCAGTTTGAAAATAGCATGAAAAAAATTTCTAAGAAAAATAATGTGCACGTACTTTTTTTCCATAGACCTCCTGAAACCCATTCATGATTCCCCATGGTTATGAATTTCTGATATAGCTGTAAATTGAAATCACGGAGATGAGTAATATTAATGAACTGATAAGAAAAAAAAAATGAATAAAGACCTGGAAGACACTCACGACTGTGTTTGTGTACAGGTTTTATATTTATGCTCACTTGTAAGCTCTCACAGTCTTTTATCAGCTGTAAAATGGGGATGACAATTATTTCCCTTAGAGGCTGCTGTAGAGATTAAATGGGAACACTGCAAATTGTGTGACAAAGAATCTGGAACACCACAGGCCTAGCTTTTAAAGTTCATGGTTTCACTGGCACAAATCTTATATAAGACAACACTCATTTATTCTATGGTAGTTATCAATGTCCCAGTCTTATCTCTAATAGAATATAAAGCAGAGGCCTGACTGTCCTTTTTTGTTTGTTTGTTTCTTTCTAGGCCCAAGAACAGTACTTTCCATATATTAAGTGCTCCATAAAAATCTGAATGAGGAAACTAAGGCACAAATCCCAGTCATATCCAGTTTCCTTCTGCTAATGAGTCATGCCAATTGTAATTATGTAATTATGAGTACAATGTAATAAACCTTTCAAGGGAGGGAAAGGGGAAGAGTTTAAGGTAGATGAACATTTAAAAAGCTGCTGTCTTGTCCAGTTCACAAATATGATTCTGTATAAGTACTAAGGTGTTAAACCGGAACTCATTTTCTGTTGAGTTTCTGTGTTTAATTTGAAATTACATAAAGATATTTCAGTGGTACTCATATGGATCTCAGATGGCAAAACAAGTAAAACCTTAACAAGCATTAAGTATTAAGATTTGGGCAGTTCTGCAGCGTCCAAGCAAAAGACCGTAATTTAGGTGCTGAATATTTTCAGCATTTACCTGTAAATTAATTTTCGGCTACACCCCCCTCTCAATTTAAATATGTGGGCGTTTGCTTACTAGGGGAATTCCAGGTTGTGCTTTCAGCTGTTGAGCTTCCCCCAACCCCCCTTATAAAAGTTTCACGTATTTGCTCCACTGCTTGGGATCCTTTAACTGGTCCAGCTTTTGCTCCAGGTTGAGCCAGCAGCCTAAGGATTCTGACTCAAGGATGAACCTGGGCAGTCGATTCCCAACAACGCAGCTCCAAAGCGCAGCGGGGGTAAAAATCACCAGTGAAGAGCGGGCAAGAAGCTGACTGCGAAGAAACGCTCCACTGGACAAGGTTTCAGGAACCCAAGCCCCGCTTTTAGCGATTTTAAACGTGGATTAACAGGTCACGAGGGATCACTTCCACCAAGGTCCCTCGGGTGCAGTCCTGCGGTGCCTGGACCTTCCGCTTCTTCCACCCGAAGGCTCCTCTTCCGACTCGGACTCCCACTCCGGGTTTCCGCTTTCCTCGCCCGCGGGGCCGCAGCCTGCCCCTGCCCACCCTCGACCCCGGGCCCTGGGCGGCGCCCGGGCAAGGTTGTGCTACTCACGTCCTTCTTCACTTCTGTCAGGTCCTCCTCGGTGAGGGACGGCGCGATGGGCTCCATGGCGGAGGAGGGAGTAAATGCTTCTTCCGGGTCCGGGAGCTCCGGCAGCACCGCCCGGCCGGGCAGCGGACTTCGGCCTCCGGGTGAAGGGGGAGAAGGGCAGGCGGAACGGGTCGAGAGGAAGAGAACTGCCCCTTTGACAACAGAGGGGCTTAGGGATGAAACCGTAGAGCTTCCGGCTCCGCCTCTGGGGCCGAGGGCGCTGCAGACCTAGGCGTCCCAAACCGGGTTCCGTGTCGCGCTCCTTCCTCTCCAGGAGACTTAGGCGCAGGCCCCGCCCCTCGACGAGCCTGGGTGAGCCTTAGAACCCGCCCCATCCCAGAGGTAGCCAATCGGTGCCAGCCCATGGGCCAAGCCTGTCCCTGCCCCCTGGCCGGATCCTCTCAGGAGTGGCTCCGCCCACAGCCCCCGCACGTCATTTGCGAGGAGCAGCCGCTTGGCCTCCCCATAAGGACTTGTTTCCGTGGGTGGGGCCCGTTGCTCCTCCCGCCGCACGCCCCGCCTCCGCAGACTGCTCACAGCTTCTCAGTACCTCTGGGTTCTGCCCCTTTTCCCAGACCTTGCCCTACAACTTCCGGGTGCTGCGTTATCCCACCGAAGTTGTTAGCTTATTTGCTCACGTGCAGATACGGGCGCATGCTCATACACAACACACACGCAGCTTAGCTACAATAGTAGAGGAATTTTTGAAAGAGAAAAACCGCCTATGATCCCCTCGTTTTAAGACCTTATTTAACGTCTGCATTCTTTTTGGTCACTGTTTTTTACAATCCTATTTCCTTTTTCATCTGTGTGAAGATACGTCTAGCTTACACCTCTCACAGGGCTGCTGTGAGAATTAAATGATACTATATATGTAAGGTTCTTAGAGGTACGTGGCACGCAGTCTGAACTCAATTTATTATTATCTGGTATTACTCAAACATTTATTGAGTCCTTATGTCCTAGTCATTTTATATCCTGGAAGAGTTCTGTTTTTATGGGGGAGACTGATAAACAGCCAGCTATTCCCAGAATGGTATCTAGCTGCTAATAGACGTGTATACAAAACAATATGAATAATGAGTAACGTGGGTGAGAAGTTCAGAACACAGCCTGGGCACAAGACATGTTTGGACAACATGATAAACTGGATGGTATTTGAAGCGGTGAGGGTAGATAGAAATGACAAGAGGAACAAAGACAAACTTGGGAACTCTAGCATTTTTTTTAAAGTAAACTCTACACCCAACAGGCGGCTCAAACTCACAACCCAATTATGAAGAGTTGCATGCTCTGCCCACTGAGCCAGCCAGTCAGACACCTCTTGGACTCTAACATTTAAGGGAGGGAAAAGCAAAAGAACCAGAAAAGAACAATGTTGCCAAAGCCAAACCAATGTAGTTTTGATCAAGTTGCATCATAAGCTTCTAACATTTACATTGCATCATATGACTTTTCCTAAGTTGATACATAGTACAAGTCCAGTTTTTTCTGATTGCTTAATCTTCCCTCATCTTGGTATAGCCCAATTTACTTAACCATTTGTGCTTTCATTTCACAAATATTTACTGAATGTCAACTATGTACCAGACACTGTTCTAGGTGCTGGGGAAACAGCTATGAACAAAATAGATAAAAATTCCTTTCTTCCTGGAGTTTAAATTCTATCATACATGTGTTTTGGAGCAGGGCAGATAGACATTTGGAAAATGATATGTAAAGTTATTATATTAGAAGATGATAAATACTAAGAGAAAATACAAAACAGGAAATTAGGGTGAGGGTATATGGAATGTCAACAAAAAATTTTTATTCAACTATAATTAACATATAGTGTTATATTAGTTTCAGGTGTACAATATAATGATTCAACGATTCTGTACATTACTCAGCACTCAGTGCTGGAGTGGTAACATTTAAAATAGGGTGGTTAGTGAAGATCTCACGGAGAAGGGGAGATTTAAGTTACCACTTGAAGGAAGTGAGGGAATGAGTCACGTGGACATATAGAAAAAGAACATTAGTAGAGGGAACAGCCAACGAAAAGTATCCAGGGGGACTGGGAAGGAGATGAGGTCCTTACGTGCTACTGTAAATGTGTACTCTGACTTTACTCTGAGTCATATGGGTGTACTCTGAGTCAAACGGGAAGCCACTGGAGAGTTCCGAGCAGGGGAGTGACAGAATCCGATTTATGATTTGAAAAAGGAACACTTTCACTGTTACCTTGGGGGGAAAGAAGATGGAAAAGGGGAGACCAGTTAAGGTGCTCTTCCTGAAATCCAGGCCCCAGGAGGTGGTGGCTCAGGTCAGGGTTAGTAGCAGCGAGGGTGGTGGGAACATTTGGAAGAGAAGTGGGGACGCGATTTCATTTCCTTTTATTTATTTTTTTAAAGATTTTATTTATTTATTCATGAGAGACAGAGGGAGAGAGAAGGGGGGAGAGAGAGAGAGAAGCAGAGGGAGAAGCAGGTTCCCAAGGAGCAGGGAGCCCGATGCAGGACTCCATCCCAGGACCCTGGGATCATGACCTGAGCCGAAGGCAGATGCTTAACCATCTGAGCCACCCAGGTGCCCTCATTTCCTTTTAAAAGGGTTACTCTGGCCACTGAGAGCGGACTGTAGGTGTAAGGGTGGGCGCGGAGACAGCTGGAGGCTACCATAGTGATCTAGGGGAAAAGGAGGGTGGTGTGACCAGAGTGGGAGCAGTGGTGAGCACTCCCCCATGGTTACCTTAAGTTATTCCCAATTTGTCATTGTTGTATACAATTTTGTCCCCCAATTTTTCATCTACATATTCTCCATCCTTTTCTCTTTGGAATTATCATTTCCTTTGCATAAATTCTCAGGAGCACAGAGCCCAAGGCAATGTCTTTTCCTATATATTTCCACAGGTTCTCTCCAAAGTATTGGTCCATCTGTGTGTGGAAATGAACTGTTTTGTCACAGTTATACAAGCTCTGTTGATGAAGGAGAGGATTCAGCATCCATCAAAGTAAAGTGATACGAACGATGCCAATTTGACACATCCATTTTGACATAGCCATTAGGAGGTGGCTGTTGTTCTGTTGTTCTTTTATTATTATTTATTTATATTTTATTTTTTTCTAGAGAGAGAGTGCATGTGCACACATACCTGTGAGTGGGGGAGGAGGTGGGGGGATGATGGGGAGGGGCAGATGGAGAGGGAGAGAGAGAATCTTAAGCAGGCTCCACACCCAGCACACAGCCCAACATGGGGCTCAGTCTCACCACCCTGAGATCATGAACTGAGCCAAAATCAAGAGTTGGATGCTTAACCGACTGAGCCACCCAGGCACCCCTGTTGTTCTTTTTTTAAACAAAACATTTAAGACACACCAAACTATAAAGAAAAATATTACAAACATCTATATTTACTACCAAGATTTGACAAATATTGATATTTTGCCACATTGCCTTGTGTTACCACTATTGATTACCCAATGTTAGTGGCAGACATCTCTGATTCTTGAGGCTTCTTTCATGACTCTTCCTATACATCTGACTTTTTACTTTTTGTTGACCATTATCTCATTTCTGACACCTCCAACCTTCTTCTAGCCTCAGTATGCAGTTCTTTATTCATTTACTCAGCTAAAAAGTTAAATGTCTGCTATGTGTTAGAAGTGGGAGTTATGGAGAGTGGATCAGGAATTGAGAGGGACTGAGTGAGGAGTTTAGGAATTTTTTAAAGCCGAGAGGTTACTCTTTCGTTTTTGAGGCCATGTCTCAGTGTTCCCATGTCAATAGTCTGTGTCAAAGCAGCCACATCTGAGTGTCATGTGCCTAATCACAGGGCTGGTTCATGGCAGGCCTTATAGTTTCCAGTCCTGCTTTCCTTCTGCACCCTACTTCCTTCATAAGCAGACACATTTCCCCTTCTCTGCTCAACCACATGGTCAGACTGTAATGAGGATTGGGCACCTTTTCAAGAAATAACGCTGTCCATTCTCTACCTTGCAATAATTCGACATTTCCCCACCCTCTCCATTCCCGCCTCAAGTTCTCGGTGAACCATCTGTCTCCTACTGTGAAATACAAGGCATCTGATAAATGTACCATGAAACACAGAGTTTAGGCACTACAAACACAAGACAGCATATCATAGTGGCTAAATATGAAGATGTTTGGCATCTGACAGGCTTAGGCTGGTGTATTAGTTTCCTGGGGCTGCTGTAACGAATTACCACAAACCGGGTGACTTAAAACAACAGAAATGTATTCTCTCACAGTGCTGGAGGCCGAAAGTTCAAAATCGGCAGACTCTGAAGACTCTGGGACTGTTTCCCTGCCCCTTCGTAGCTTCTAGTGGTTGCCAGAAATCCTTGGCATCCCTTGGCTTTGGCAACGTGACTCTTATCTCCGCCTCCATGTTTACCTGGCCTTCTCTGTTTTCCTACTGTCTCTGTCTCCAAATTTCCCTCTTCTTATAACAACACTAATCATTGGATTTAAGCCCACTCTAATCTAGTATGACATTCTCTTAACTCGAATGCATCTGTAAAGACATTATTTTCAAATAAGGTCATGTTCCCATGTTCCAGTAGACATGAAATTTTGGGAAGACACTATTTAACTCAGTACAGTTGGATTCTAGATTTGCCAATTATCAGATATATGACCTGGGAACAATTAATAAGCATTCAATAAAGAGAGCTGTTATAGGGATGCAGAGGGAGGGAAGAGGAAACCATTTATGACTGATAAGACAATACAAAAAGTGTGTATTTAGATTTTTTTAAAAAGATTTTATTTATTTATTTGAGAGAGAGCACAAGCAGGGGGCAGAGGGAAAGGGAGAAGCAGGCTCCCAGCTGAACAGGGAGCCTGACGCAGGGCTCGATCCCAGGACCCCAGGGTCACAACCCAAGCTGAAGGCAGATGCTTAACCAACTGAGCCACCCAGGCACCCTGAAAGAGGTGTATTTGAACTGGACCAGAGGACTTTAATAGGTGTACTTGAACTGCTATTTAATGATTTATTTCCAAAACTTCCTACCAGATACCAGGTGCCATGTTGAGCAATGAATTCTATTCCAAGTGATTGTCAATTATGAATTTCCTGTAAATAGTTGGAGGAAAAAAGTGGCCAGTTCTGAGCCAGACACTCCTGGGTTTTCATGACTAGACAAGATGGGTGGAATTCAGACAGTTCTGCTCAGGAACTTCATGAATTTTCCAAGTAGTCTGTCCCAGGAGTGGCTCCCAGTTCAGGAAG